AGAGTATATCATTAACTTCTTGGACAACCACTCATAAACGTACCGGCCTCTCTAGCGCTGGATCTCTACCCACAGACTCCCGTAGTCGTAGTCATGCGGTCTTAGCGACATCGCACGGCCCCCGTGAGGTCCGTCAGGAGCGCCATATCCCCTCCGGGCTCGCCCGGCCAGCAGGCAAAGCACTGACTGCAGCAGCAGCCGAGGTGCCCGGTTGTAGATGCGTCGTGAGTGAGCAGCTGCGTCCTGCCGATGGGTTTGGCGCCAAAGCGCGCGTGGAGCGCCCCGTTACCGCCGTGAAGCCGTCAGTTGTTGCCACAGGTTTTCGGTCCTCTAGCCGATGAAGAAACAGAAGCAACAGTAAGAGCAGCACAAAAAACAGTGTGCATCGAGCATTTTAATGGCGGATGTCTAAAATAGATATCAGAACGCTCACGTGACCGAGATGTTTTTGTTCTTGTTTATGCTGGGAGCGCGAGAATGATTCTGGGTAAAGTACGAAATGAATGAAAAGTTAACATATTGGGCGGAGAGAAATTGGAATCGTTCTCGCGAGGCAACCCGCGGAGAAGAAGTCAGCGCACCTCGACAAATCCCACCGCCGCACTCGCGACCAACAAAAATCCGAACACATCCGCTCTCGCGAGATCCGAAGGCCTCCAAGGTCCGCGAAACTTCCGGATGATCCGCGAGGATGGCGCCGGAGGGCAAAGCGACAATTGCGGGCCTACTTCTACCGACGCCCTCGAACTAACCTCTTCTGCGTGCACCTGCGACAGGAATATCCTAAAACACAGCTCCGCGGATAATCCCAGCGGGATCTCGCGCGGATTTCCGCGGGCCCGCCTACTTCTACGACGCCGTATGATGGTCGAAGCGCGCTCGGCTGTCTGTACGTGCTGTCGGGAGGACGAGCGAAGACAAGCACGTCGTTCATGTGGCATGACGTTCAGTGGCTTGCTTTGCGTCTGCAGTGCCGCAGAATGAGTTCCCAGCGCAGCGACGCGGATCGTCCGACGCACCGCTTATAGACGGAACAGCGCTCAGTCGTACCTGCGCCACAGGGGTGTGGTGATGGTGACGAGAGAGACGAATGTTGGGGGCAAACAGAGCGACGGAGTAGAGAGAGAGAGGCGGATGAGAGAGAAGAAAGGGAGAGGAAGGAGAAGAGAGTGAAATGAGGAACGAGAGAGAGGGAGAAGAGAGAGAGAGAAGGAGAAGAGAGGGGAGAGAGGGGGGGC